AACTAATTTTTCGAGGGACAAAATTATAAAGTGGTCTTTGGGTATATATTTGTGGTGTTTCGACATTAATTTTATTGGATGAAATAGGAAAACTCAGTATTTTTTTTTGGGTTGATTTTTAGAAACAATTAAATAAGTATTATTCCATAAATAATATGGAGTATTATTCCAAGACAACAAAATAACTTTTTCAAATATTATGTTTGGTTTCAGTTTTTTAAAAATTAAGTTTTTTTATTTTTAGTAAATATTTTTTAAATTTTAAATAATTTTTTTACTTTTTAAATTGCACCTTACTTAGATGTATCTAAATAGTAAAATATTTATGAAAAAATATTTTTAAAATTAATGAAAAATGTACTAAATTTTCATATTTTTATTGTATTTTTGGTATTTAGTGTATTTTTTAAAGATTTTTTTCACAAATATTATACTTTTTACGTGTATTTATGTAAGGTGTGTCTAAAAATTAAAAAAAAATTGTTTAAAATATTAAAAAAATTCATTGAAAATATTAAAATACAAAAAATAAAAAAATAGAATTTTTAAAAACTGATTTATGAAAATCAGAATCAAACATCATAAATTCAGAATCAAACCAAGTGTTTTTTTCCTTCGAAAAATTCCATTTATATTGGCAATTATAACCTTGTCAGAGACCACATTAAACAAAAACAAATTATTACGGAATGTGATAAGCGTTGGTGGAGAGATCTAATGGGATATATAAGAGATAAGTGGAGACTCAACTAGTTGCATCTTGATACTAGTGTTTTAGTTAGCCGATGATACGTGTGAAATGCACCTCGCTACAGATTTTAGAGTAATGTTCTGTTGGGTTGATAGAGCCTCCCTATGGAAAGTCGGTTGCCTTTTTAATTTTTTTGATTATTTTAATTTAGGTTAAAAAATTTAGTTTGAGAAAATTTTTTTAACTTTTTAATATTTTTGGTTTTTTTTGTGAGAAAAGAGTATAATGATTATAGGTTAGATGTGATATTTTGTTTGTTGTGGCTAAAATAGCCTAAGTTTTTTTGACTTTTTAGTTTTTTTGACTTTTTTTTGTGAGAAAAGAGTATAATGATTATGGGTTGGATGTCATGTTTTGTTTGTTGTGACTAACATAGTCTATTTTGTCTTTTGTGACTATTTTAGCTACCGACAATGCTACGTAGCTCAAATTTTGTGGCTCAAAAGTGACTCAAATGGCCAAAACGACGTTGTTTTGAGTACAGAACAACATAAAAATGGCCAAAACGACGTCGTTTTGGCCATTTGAGCCATTTTTGAGTCACAAAATTTGAGTTACGAGACATTTTCCTTTAGCTACAAACCAACTTGCCAAACAACACCAGAATTATATATAATTATACATAATGATGTTACTGTATTGTTAGTTTATCAATTTAAACTAAAGAACCCACCAATGGGACGGCTAATTGTAAAATATTACCGTCACATTGTTGTGGTGACATTTTTATGTAAGAAATGTTTTTTTCTTAAATTTTAAAAAATAATGCTTTGCAAAAAACAAAAAAATAAACTCGTATAGAATTTTAAACTAGAAATATGTGACAATCTTTGGTCTTTTCATTAAATAAAAAATTCCCTTAAGAATGAATTTTATTTTAAAAAATACCATTCACTTTGCTTGGTTACAATTTTCTAAAAACATTTTTCAGAAAATTCTACTTTATTATTTTTCGTGTTTTTTTTTTGTTTTTATTGATTTTTTTAATATTTTAAACAATTTTTTTTTAACTTTTTAGACATACGTAACATAAATATACCTAAAAAGTAAAAAATTTATGAAATTTTTTTTAAAAAATTTACTAAATACCAAAAATACAAAAAAAATACGAGAATTCAATACATTTTTTTATGTATTTATTAATTTTTTAAAATATTTTTTCACAGATTTTTTACTTTTTAGATACATCTAAGTAAGGTGCACCTAAAAAAGTAAAAAAAAAAAAAATTTAAATTTTAAAAATATTCACTAAAAACAAAAAAACAAAAAATCAAAAAACTTAATTTTCAAAAAATTTATTATAAAAAACTCAAATCAAACACACTGATTGTTATAATATTCTTGTGATAAGTTTTATATAAAAATTTTATTTGTAATTGTTTTTTTTAATTTTAAATTTTCAACAAAGATTCCTTTGTTGTGGGCAGAGTATTATATGTATATATATAAATTGTGTTTGAATTTTGAATTTATTATGAAAAATATTTATAAAAAAATAAAAGAAGAAGAAGAAAAAGTTAGGGAAAAATTCTACTTTAATTTTCATTTGTTATCATTCTCTCCACAACTTCAAAATCAAAAAATTCAAAAGAGGATTAGCATCATGCATTCTTTGAAACATGAATTAAACCTCATGGTAGTGGTAGTGGCAGTGGAATAAGATGTAACAGATCCACTTTGAAATCCAATGTTTGTGACTGTACAAGGCATTGAAATGACTCTTTCTTTTGACTTTTGTATTGTGCATTCGAGCTTGAGTTTTAAGAATGGAACCACATGCGGAGTATTGGACAAAGCTTATGTAAGGTAGTAGTGCAAGTGATCTGTACGTGTGTCACTAGTAGTAGTGGCCTATTCGTCCTCTCATTGTATCAATGAAGTCACCCAAATATTTAGGCTTCGTTTGGTAAGTGGTTTTTTTAGTTAAAAAATCAAAAAGTCACTAAAAAAATTAAAAAGTTAATAATTCATATCAAAAAATTAAAGATTCTCTTTTCTCTCTACTTTTTACATATCTTTTCGTAAAAAGTTAGAAAGGCATCCCAAACATACTAGTTTTTTTTAGCTCATATTTTAACCAAATAGTCAAAAAGTTACTAAATTAGTCTGTTCCCAAATGAGACCTTAGTGTTAACGATCATTACATTTGTCTCCGTACATTTAGTAATCATACAAGATAGATTCAGATGAGTTTTCGTACGAATAGTGTTACATTCCTCTAATTTTACATCTCTAATGACGTGTCTCACTCTCATGTAAAACAGTTCCATAATTTGAAAAGAGTTGATTAGTTGTTATTATTTATCGCTTCATTAGAAGTGCAATTAAGGGTGATGAATTGAAAAATGAGGCATTTCTCTATAACAAAAATATTTTTGATACATAATTTATTATTAGAATAATATAATAGTGGGTACTTTATTTTATAATAATAAATTTCAATGCAATTAGACATATGTTTCACAACTCAAGTAAACCAAATACTGTTAACATAATATAGGGTAAATTATAAATACAATTCTTAAGATTTACTTAAAATACGAATTGTTCCTGTAGTTTGAAAATTTATAAATACCTCATTGTTAGAATTTTTATTTAACAGAATTAATTGAAAAAGTAAAATTTTCAACTGTTCACTTATACAATAACAAAATTATCTGAATTATTAATTAAAATAAAATTTTAACATTATTAGAAACCATTAATTAACTTGATGATTTATTAATAAAAGGACCTATTTGTTATAAAATTAAAAACCTTAGGGACATAATGTAATTTCTAGAATCACAAAGAGTAATTTGTAATTTAAGTAAACCTCAGGGAATGTGTTTGTAATTTACCCTATAATATATAATAAATATGAATTATTGTAAATTACAAATTATTTTCTCACATATACATAATTCAAACTAATTTTCTTATTATACCTTTGTATATTTTTAAGATATTCTTATATTTATTTTCAAAAAGTACAATACACTAGTTTACAACAAATCTTACCCGTAATTACAGCACCATGAATCTTGTTACCACATATCTGTGCCTATAGCCATTGACAAATGGGCAGAGTTTAATATTTCCAATTATATCAAACATTTCCTTTAATAGTTTTAGGTAGTGTTTAGTTTAATTTTAAAATCATGATTTCAAAATTAAATTATATTTTGATTTTGTAAGTTGTTGAATTTTGATTTGAGAAAAGAAAATTTTTTAGTTATGAGTTTTGAATTTTTAAAATGAGTTTTAAAATAAGAAAAATTATTTGGTTGCGAGTTTTTCAAACTTAATTCAAAAATTTATAACTCATAACTAAACATACAATTCAAAATTCTATTCAAAACTCATAACTAAACTCTTTTTAAAATTCAATTCCAAAAAATAATTATTGAAAAAAATAATTTTTTATTTAAAAAATTCAAAAAATATTCAACTAGTACTTTAAAATTACTTTTGATTGGAATTTTTTTTTAAAATTGTTTTGTTTGAATTTCTATTTATTTAAATTATTTTTTTGTTAATTTTAAATAAATGACCAAATAATTTGTCATTTTGGTCTAAGAAAATAATTTATATATTTTAAACATATCAAAAACAAATATAATTTTTTTTTTTTCAAATAACAAGCAAAAAAAAAAAAAAAACAATGTTCTGGTCAATCGGGAGGATGTCTGGGCAAACAATCGGATAGACCCAAAAATTTAAAAACTGTTCGGGAAGATGTCCGGATGGATAATGGGTAGACCCAATTTCAAAATTCAAAACTCAAAAATTGACTCTGCCAACATGTTCTGAAAAAAAATTTCAAACGTAAATGTGAAATCAATTTTTAAAAACTATATCCAAACGTAACAGTGAAATAGGAGGGTGGAATTATGATTCCTTCCACCCCTAAACCAAACACAGTATATTTTCTTTTGGACAGACATGTTGGCCTATTGCCAAAACCACATTGAAAAATGCTTCGGACCACCACTGGGGTCCACTGGGTGACACCCAGGATGCAGTGGGCTGTGATTGGCTAGAATTTTTTTTTTAATTTTTTTTTCCTCCAATCGCCAACCCCCACATGGGGGGAAGGTGGGGTTCTCAATCATGTTTGAACCACATTTGAGTCACAAGACAACCCTTCAAACCAGAGGAAATATATATATATATATATATATATATATAAATTAAAAAAAACCCTGAGGAAATCAACCTCAAAATAATATTCTCATCTGATTTTTGAACCACATTTGAGTCACAAGACAACCCTTCAAACCAGAGGAAATATATATATATATATATATATAAAATTAAAAAAAACCCTGAGGAAATCAACCTCAAAATAATATTCTCATCTGATTTCTGTAAGGACATTCGAAAGAGTAGAAAGTACAAAACTGATGCAACTTATTATATGCAAGAGAGAGAGAAAAGGGAAATGAAAAGGGTCACTTTTCGTTACCTTAGGAAGGTAAAAATGGACTGCTTTCAGGATCATATATTCCTGCAACAAGAGCAATCAGAACCCAGAGCATGAGGATGCTTACTATGGCAGATCGCAAAACCTGATCATAATTTCCATTCATGTGTGTATTGGTCATATTGCTTGGATGAGGTGATGACATGTCGTCACAGCTGACCACATCATTCATTTGAGGCGGTCCCATATTGCGAATGCTGAGCTTTGAACATCTTATACACTTGCAAGTGCCACCAAGATATGATGGGAGTGTGGGAAAGTTCTCCATGAGAACCTCCTGGTACATCTCCCCTTCAACTTTCAACTTTTGCCGAGTGACGGGCTTCAGAACCTGAGGGAGATCCACAAACCACATTTGTACATAAACAAACAGATACTCAAGATTCCATGACTAAGAAACGATAAATAATTATGTTTTAATTAGGATAATTATATTCGCACACTACACTTTATTTCAGTAAACACCATTTATGCCATTCGGATATCAATTTCAGAACAAAAATCCAATGTTCAGAATATCAACTTCTAAACAAACCCAATTGTTTGAACAAAAATCCTCTTCAATAGTTGATATCCAAACATTTATTGTTTTGTTAAGTTGATATCCAAACAACACAAATATTGAGTACTGATATAAAGTGTTGTATGCAAATACAATTACCCTTTTAATTATCATATCTACAAATGGAACAGGAAGCTAGAAAGGCATTCATTCAATCCTCATTGGAGGAAGGAGCTTACTTGAATAAAAGTTTGTGCAATAACTCGAACATCTGGAGGAAGCCGTATGGCAAACAAAAAGCCAAGCCGATTTGGGAAGTGATCTTGAAAAATAGCAAAACATGATCTCATGATTTGAGTGGGAAATCTCAAACGTGACATTCCTTCGCAATCCACCAAAACAGTAATTTGAGGATTTTCACGGTCAACTAAATGCAGAATTCCATGCTCTACTTGCGATACTGTAATTAGAATGCAATCATTAACTGCTTTAACATGTTTCCACTAGATAGAAAAAAGTGAAAGAACGAATAAAATTTGACAGAAAAATCGAGGTAAAATATAACCTGTTTCCACTGAGGTAGTTGTCTTCTAGGTTTAATGTTCTCATTTAGCAAGGGACATAATATGGTGTGACCACATTGATATGTATTGTCACACATAACCCACCCCTTTGCTATCTAAAATAGTGCTATTAATTTGAAATCATTGCTGGTCAAGCAAAATCAACTAATGCAATTCTGAGTGGAGCAAGGTGTAACAATTTTCCTCAGACACTGGGACAGGTTATTCAAGCGCGAAGACAGCCGATTATGGCAAGCACATCCCAAGTTTTTTTATGCCAATATGATAAGAGTTGAAAGTGCAATCAATATAAAGTCCCAAGCAATAAATAGAAGGTAACAGCATAAAATTAATGGTGCCTCCACATCACTTTGATCTAAAGTTGTTCAATTGATGTTTATGATTTATGAATTGGCAACATAAAAACAGTGGCAATCCGCCAGATAAGCCAAGAAATAGTGCTACTCATGGATAAAGTTTTTCATCAACTCATAAATAACTATGACTACACAATACCATCGTATCA